GCCATTCTCTCTTCAATATATTTCAGACCTTATTTCTCCTATTTTGAGATCCATATTTCTCCCTCTTACACATATATGCATAATATGCTTCTGCAAATGTGCTGTCACTCCTTGAGACTCCTGAGTTGAGTTCCTCTCAGTTCTTTCTCGAGCTCTTTCCCAGAGTCCTCTGGTAGCATAACATCACGCATAGTGCTATATCACATCCCTAATCAATGCTGGAATTTTTCTACCGTTCATGTGACACTGGCTCCAAGCAATGATCCAAATATTGTTATTTCTGCATATAAGAAACAAATGAGAGGAGCAGATGATCAATTCTGGTCATTGGATTTCCCAGGGGACATTCTGGGCCTCCCAGTTTTCACATCAGGGAAGCATTACTGGGAGTTGGATGTTACTAACAAAAGAACCTGGCTCCTGGGATTAAGTGACGGAACATGCTTCTAAACACCACTTCAGTTCAGTGTTGTAAGTTACCCATTTATGTTTGGCAGCTGGCTCATACAGCTGTATAACAAAATGTAGCATAATGCTTTGGGGAAATATCGCAGCTCTGGTTCTTTCTTCATGACCCTTTCTCCAACCAACTTGACTACTCCAAGTTAGGTCAGGGTTTTGCCAGACTATAAGGCTCATACTCTCTCATTCTACAGTGTGACTGATCATGAGTTTCTCCTCTATAAACTCTCTTGGTGTTCATTACTTGGTAATGATTTTCCATTTTTCAATCCTGGGGGATATTCAGAACTTGTGACATTATATGGGCCAAATGTTTAAACTTTCTTACATGCTCTCCCTCTTCCCAGCCATGCCTCTGGCCAAGGTGTGCATCTCCTGCTTCTGAGTGTCCTGCTCCATTTTAGCCACTCTGCCTGTTGTCTTTTGGTCTTCCATTTGGATGTCCTTCACTCACTGTGGGATCTGTGCATTCTCTGACACCATTTTCTTCCAATATCTCATTTGCACAGGAGAGAAGCTTATCACTTCCATACTCTCAAGGAAATGACTGATCCCTCTTAATAAAGGCCAATACTGAGGTAACTGCTGGGCCCAATCTTCACAGCCTCATTCTCTGCTATGGAGAAAAGAGGAAGGAAAGGGTTCACCTAACTTTCGGTACATTGAAGACTATGCATTGGAGTGTTCTCACTAAAAAATGAGCCCTTAGCCTTAGAGTAGGTCACTTTAACCATAATGGTCCTTTTTTATCCAGGGGTGAAAAACAGTCTCATCGTAGAAAACAGAGACATAGATTTTTTGCAAAACAGCAAGAAACTAAGAGGTGAGGGTGGGGGAGGGGGACATTAAAAACTTACAGTGTGGGTTGGGGATATAGCTCAATACCACAGCACCTTCCTAGCAAGTGCAAGGTCATGAGTTTGATTCTCAGTAGCAAAAATATTACATTCTCTTATATTTGTACACTAGTGGCTACCAGAATTTAACATTATGTACTGAAAACGTGTACTTATAAAAATAAAAATTTAATGTCAAAAGAATCTATCAATGGTCTATACTCAGAATAAAGATTATCTGTTTAGTTATCTAAGTTCATATTCTATCTCTCCATATCTAAGCAGTACAACTTTTAATAATGTGGTTGAATGCTTTGTGTGTTTTCTTACAAGAGTTTTTATATAAACGTTATATCTGTTAACTTTGATCACTGAGAGAGAATAAAGTCATTATTAAGTATACTCTGAGGTGTCTCAATAAGTATTTGTTCTAGTAATAATTGAACAATGAAAAACATAAGAGGTATCGCTGTCCCATGAAACAAGTCATGCAAAAAGGAAGTAAAGTTGATCCTAGAGAAGCCTCATTTTTAGGTCCCAGATGCCATTATCAAGACTACTGCAGTGTGGCTGATAAGTTTTTTCTCACAAGTTTTTTTTTTTTTTTTTTGAATAGGCATCAAACTCATGACCTCACGCTTTCCACGCAGACGTTTATGTGGCTGAGCTAAATCCCTGGCCCACTGTTACAATTTTATAGTGTTGTATGGGTATAATTCCAGTTTTATCATACATTGGTCTCTAGAAAATATATTTTGATAATTAAAATGATAATAATGAAATTTATATTATATAGCATTTAGAAAACCAAAGATTTTTAGTTCCTCATTTTCTTCCAGGCACATGAACAATATCCCATCTTGGTATCTTCCCATTTTTCGCTCATTCTCATTTGACTAACATAAATAATTTTAAAGTATAGATATCAGTTCACTTACAGAAACTTTATGTCCTGGTTGTGTTTTGTAAAAACTAGAATATATATATTCTAGGCTGAATATTGTGCTTATTACGCATGATGATACAGGTTGTCACAAGACCACTTGGAGTAATTCTTAATATATACATTCTAGGTTTTAAGGAGGTGCTGGGAATCATTTTGTTTTTGTTGTTCTTTGAGACAAGATCTTGCTATGTAACCCACACTGTCCTGAAATGTACAGGGATCCCTGTGCATCAGCCTCCTAAATGCTGGCATTACGGATGTGCACCACAATGCTAACACAGAGAATTTTTTTATTATTAGCAAATTGTATGTTTCTAGTTAGCAAATGAGTGTTTGTAGCTTCATAGGTGTCCAATTATTTCTCATATTTCTGCAAAATTCTCTTTCATCAGAAGCTCTTTTCTGTCTACAGCCATATCACCCTGAATACGCCCAATCTTGTCAGAAGCACTTTTCTTATTTTAAAATAAAATAAATGCATTTATTACTTTATTTTTTTCTATTTTTTACAGTATTGGGGATTGAACCTAGGATCTACAGACCAAGCTATGTCCCCAACTGATTTTCAGCTTTTATTCTGTGGCATGGTCTGATTATGTTGCTTGGGCTGACCTGGAACTTATTATTCTTGCCTCTGCCTCATTGAATATTAAGACTACAGGCATGTGTCACCAAGCTAGGTTGAATATTGTGATGGTTATGCATGCTGATACAGGTTGTCACTAGGCCACAGGGAGTAAGTCTTAACTATAGTGTGGAGACTATTCTATTTGCACTGGTAGCTTTAGTCTTTTCTAGTGAGATAGAAGGCTGTTGTATTTCATATGACTGAGGGAAAATGTTTCTTTCAGTGAAACACAAGAATTGTGCAGTAACACGGTATTTGGTGGGATCCTCATACATTTTTACATTTGAACCTCCATGTCTTCCTCAACTTACTTATAAATGGTTAAAAAAAAAAAAGGAAGGAAGAAAAGTGGCATGTTTTGTCAAGTGCTACCTGTTTGCAGCAGTGCTTTGCCCTTAGAAATCCCAAATTCTTAATCTTGGGGTGACCATGACGGAGAGGAGATTGCAACCAGATATTGTCAGTGCACACAGCTCTACCATAGCACTCTTATGACATTGCCCTTACACCTCTGTTGGAGCTATTGAAGTTGAGTACATGTGCAGTGCAGTGGCATGGTCCGGGCATGGCTGAATTGAGAATTAGGAGACACCTCATGGAGCAAGATAGACCACAGCTGAGGACACCTAGAGACTTTCTCCTAGGATAGTTTTCCTTAATTAACATCGTCTGTAGCTCTGAGGAGTTCTTGAACCCCCACCCTCAAGGTCCTGCTCAGGTTTCCTGCATTTTCCACTCTAACCTCTTCCTTGTTTGAATACTAAATAAAGACAGGCCCTAGAGACATTGTCTCAGCCACCAGAGTTAAGAACTCTACAGAGGGTCTTGGTCTTCCTACAGCCCTGAAAATCATACCACATTTCTCATTTATTTGGCCCTTCACCATGCACTCATTTGGGAGACTGGGGAACTAGACACAGAGCCCAACACACCTCCCCTTCCTCTCATTCACTGCCAAGATGACTGAGGCTGTCACTCACTAGGAAGAGTTCAGTCCATCTTATTATACAGATGAGTCAATTTTTAGGAGCATCCATGTCTTCTCATTTACTGAAATACTTATCTCCCAGGACTGGGGATTTAGCTCAGTGGCATAAGTGCCTGCCTTGCAATTGTGTGGTCGTGAGTTTGATCCCTGGTACCAATAAAAAACACACACACAAAAAAAGAAATACTTATCTCCCAATTCAGAAGAAATGCACAGTTATAAGGAAATAAAGATCTGAAATTGTAGAAATGACATGCATAAAACAAAACACATACAGAGAAATATGTTTCTTTGTTTGTTTGTTTGTTTTAACAGAAGCTCCTATCCCCAGAAAGGAAAATATGCAGAAAAGATTGTAAAGCAACCCTCAGCTTCACTCCTTTTTGAGTAACAGGCTGAGGACTCAAAAATTCCCATAGATACAATCTATGGATAACTGTCTGCACCTGTATCCACTATAGGACCTTCCAACATTACTTAGAAACCTCTCAGTGACTGTCATACAGTCTTGTATTTCTGCTACTATAGGATTAGGACGTAGATTTACAAACACTCCAGGAGGTGTGAATGGCCTCAGCCATGAGGTGCCTTCTGCCTGTAAGATTATGCATAGACAGAGAGCCACACACAAGTCTCTCTCCATGAAGCAGCACCATTCATGGACTGCAGAGAGAGAGAGCCAGGCCCCATGGGAGAAGATTCCAGCCCAGATACCAGCACAATGAGTGGGCTGCTGCTGGTCTGGGGAAAGCCAGACCCAAGCTTCTCTCTGTGACTCAGTGCCATTCAAGGACTGCAGAGGGAGAGGGCCAGGCCCCATGGGAGGAGACACCCACAAGGAAACCATGTCATTTTCATTGCTTTGTTGAGCTTTTCTTTTCTCTTGTTTTCTTTATGTTAACTCTGATGGCATTAGCAGATGTTTGAAAGGTAGCAAGATGTTATGGAAGCCATTATGTATATACTATTAGCTTGTTTTGATGTTTTTTATTGCATTCATTGTTTTGTTTGTATTGTTTTTATTCTACTCTGTTCTGATCAATTTTTAACATGTCTGAAAGTGTTTTCTGCACCTATTTTGTAAATAAAGGCATTGTGAAAACTAATTTTGATTTCATAAAGTTTGGAAGTCCTGTATCATTTATTCTGGTTTTATTTTGATTGATTTTATTGTTTTATTTTCCTTGGTTTCACATTTTTAAAATACAATGCAATTAAATTAAGTTTAAAAAATTGTGCATAGACAGTAAATAGTCATTGGTTCCTAGAGCCATTACCAATGGTGATCAGAAATTTCTCAGTCAGGGAGAAATTTCTCAGATGTCAGAGAGCTGACATCTTCATAGAAATAGAAACAAGATCTTTAGTACAGTTTTCCAGGTGCCTGAGGTTGATGCTGGCCAAGCTCCATCCTGACTCAGTTTCTCCATGTAAAGACTATCACAAAGCCATAATTCCATGGAGTGAGACACAATTGTTCTGCATACAATGACGCAATAAGCATTTTTCAAAGAAGCTCGAGGTCTAGGTAGTAGTCACTCTTGTTATCCTGTAATTTAGTTGCTGCAGGATAGCAAGTATTAAAATGCATAAATGGCATGATGAGAAGTTAATTGATTTTGTTATATAAAAAAGAAGATAAAAAGAAAAAAAGGTCTGATGCACACACAAGCAGTAACAAGCAATAATCAAGACAATCACAGTCCTCATTTCTGTATCTTATCATGCAGTGATAGCTGGTTTTTAGACTCACTCATTCTTTTACTAACTGCTTTGAGTCAGAAGCAGCTCAGCTGGTTGTGCTTCTTTTGCTGGTGAGAAGATCCCAAGGTTTCTTTACCAAGAGGGTTTGGATATCAGTAGCACTTCCTGAATTCAGTTCGTAATGCATTTAGCAGCTATAAGAAAATATTGATCAAGTGGCTTACACTGTGGCAATCAAATCACAGTTTTGGGAACTGAAAATCCAAAGATTAAGATGCCGGCAAGACCTGTGTTGTGTGAAGGCTCTGCCCTTGGGGTTCAGCTGGCAGCCTCCTTCTTGCTTGTGTTTCCTTTGCTTTGTGAAAGGTCAGGGAGAGAGAAAACTTTGGTGTCCTTTATTATAATACATGAATTTTTTAGCTCAAGTCCCACTCTGTGACAACATGGAACTAATTTACACAAATGTTCAGTCCATAACAGGCATGTATTTTTCCATTGACACACAGGACATGGCAATTTTAAAAGATAGCCCAAGGGATCTACTGTATCCTAGTAGTGATTGTTATCCTAGTAGTGAACCTTGCACTCTACCTATCTTGGGTATACCTGTATTTGTAATTCCCAGGTCAAGCACCTTCTTTTTCATTCAATCTTGCTCTGTAAAAATGTATAAAGCATACCTTCCCTAATTTATACAGCATAATTTTTAAAGAACGGTGTGTATCTTTGTTCTCCTGGTAATTCTAGGTAGCCATTCTGAGTTTGAAATTAATGAAAAGAAAGGAAAGTACAAGAGGTGGTAACTAACAGTAGTAACTAACAATAGTCATCCAGGGGGGTGGGGATTTAGCTCCGCAGCATAAGCGCCTGCCTTGCAAGCAGGCAGTCGTGAGTTCAATCCCTGGTACCGATAAAAATGAAAAAGACAAAAAAAAAAAAAAAAAAAAAAAAATAGTCATCCAGTAAATGTCCTGAAAATATCTACTCGAAGACTGTGGCTTGTAACAGCTGTTTCTAGAAATGATTCCTTTTAGGGAACATACTATGGAAACTCATTCCTTCATAGTTCTCTGGCACATGCATCATAAAGGGCATTAAAAACAGTATAAGCCTCAGTAGGAAAAGTTTTATAAACCAAAACTTGAACAGAATAGGCTTAGCAGGGAAATCTGAAACTTGAAAAGTAAAATTTCAGCACAATCATTATTATTGTGAAGGCACAAAATTGATATGTAGGACAGTAACAGAGGTTATAATTTTCAGTACTCACAAAGGCAACTATTTACTATTACATACTAAGCATTTTACATTTAGTGAATAGACATTTTACATTTAGTGATATTTTGCTTCCTCACAATGCATTTAAGTGTAAATTCCAATTTGTATTTTAGAAAAAAGAAACCCAGAATTTATCCAAGACCAAAATTTCACAGAGCTTATAAAAGAAGAGACAGGATTTGCACTCAAATACTCCAGACATAACTCTGGGTATGTCTACCGCTTATAATTATTTTCCTCTCCTGCAATCCGAGATAAACTTGGGGTATCATAAAGTGGTATTTGTTTAATGAATTTTAAGTTCTTGTGGCATGGTTCATGAGGGTTATTCTTATGGATTACTGTAAAAATAACATGAATAGCTGGCTAACAGCTTTTGTCAGTTATCCTCAGATCAGTGATAAAAAGAAATATGGAGAACTGGAAGATTATAGATCTTACACAAATAGAGACCCATCTTTGGTAGGGATTGATGTCTATGAGAACATGAAGTGGAGTAAATTTACTTCTCTCTTCCTGCAGCAAGATACAGTGTGTGCCTTGAGGATGAGTAAAAATTCCCAAGTAGTGAAGGGAAACCACAGGGAAGAGGCAGTCTGAATGTACAGATGTGCTCTGATGCCAGAGATGAGCTGAAGACAGAGAAAGGAGTCCTACAGGTAGATGTAGGAATGGGGAAATTCAGGAGCTCGGAGGGCACAAAGTCAAGGGGGCTGGACAGTCCCAAGGATTGAAATACGGATAAACAGGCCGAGAATAGTAACATTTACAGAATCTGTAGATGAGAGACCCATGGTTTGTGATGTTGAAAAAGGAGACAGTGCCTGCTTCAAAGTTGAGGAAAACCCCAACACGATGGAGAGGAAGAGCCACAGAGAGAGCCAGAACCTTAGGGTCAAAGGCAGAGGATTCATCGAAGGCATAATACTCAAGTTTCTTTTGTAAGCCTATAACCCAGTAGCCATGCTGAGGTGTGTACCTAGAGAAAGGATTTGAAAGGATTGTGCTGCGATTAACAGCAAACTTTACAGGTTTTCTACAGTATATGCCCAGGACCCAGGCAGTCTTGCTAGACACATCTATTTCCCAATAATGTTTTCCTGAGGAGAAACACTGGGAGCCTAATATACCATAATTATCACACCTAACCGGCCAAATTGGCACAGGTCTCACTTGTCTGTGATCTTCCGACAGGACAAGATTCAAATTTAAGTTGACTGGATTCAGTGTAAAATCCACTGCAGGAGAAAAAAGGGAAATAAAAGGTCAGGTGCAGAGATAAAGCAGGTTCATCCGGTGACAGTGTGAAGAGGGAACTTGGGGAAGATTGTGTTAGTGGTCTGGGGAGGAGGTACAATGCTAGAGAAACGCATTTTGCACTGGTGAGAACACACAAGACAAGCTGATAAAATTATGTTGAAGCCACAAAGTTCTAACAAATTATCAGACCATAGTGATTTGTGTGTGTGTGTGTGTGTGTGTGTGTGTGTGCGTGTGTGCGTGTGTGTATCTGTGTGTGTTAGTGAGGAGAGAACTCAGGATGTTTTGCACTAAGCTACTTTCCCATCTCTTCTTAATTTTTTTTTTTTTTTTTTGAGACAGGATCTCACTCTGTAGTTCAGGTTGGACTGGACACACTATGTAACCCAGTCTAGCCTTGAACTTGTGGCAATCCTCCTGCCTCAGCCTCCTAAGTGCTAGAATTATAGGAATGCACCATGATATGCCCAGCTTGTGTGTTTGTTTGTTTGTTTGTTTTTGAAATGATGTCCCTAAGTAGTCTTGGCTGGGCTTTTACTTGCCATCTTCCTGCCTTATTCTCCCAGAATACTAGGATAGCAGGTATGTACCACCACTTTCAGTAGAATACATGATTTCAAGACCCAACAGCTTCTTACCCCAGTAGCCTTGGATATCTTTGAGCTCTGAAATGATAAAACATTCAATGATTTTGATTAGAAGCATGAAAAAAATCGAGGCACAATAGCTCTTCTCTGAAGTAGAGACTATGGAGGGAGAATTGTGACAATGCATACTGGTAAATGAGAGGCTCAGCCAGATGCCTGAGACATAACTGCAACCTCTTCAGCACAGAACACCTCTTCCCCATCTCCCACCGTAGCTTTTTAACTGTCCCACATGCCCTGATGTCACATAGTCCCACATCTGCTCCCTTCCCCTGGCTTCCTCACCTCTATTCAGTTCCAGCATCGTTGTCAGGTCTGAAGCACAAAGCCCTCTCTTCTTCAATCTCTTGGAAGGAGTTTTTGGCTTCCTTAGTGTCCAGATCTCACTCCTAGGGATGACAAAGCCTCCTAAGCTCCATATTTGGCTCATCTCTCCAAACCGCCCACTTGCCTTCTGTCCTCATCATAGATGCATTTCATGCCTCCTCTCTGGGGAGACTGAGGACAGGCCTGACTATGGATTGAGGAGAAAGGCTTGTGTGGATGATGCTTGCACTAACTTCCTTTGTGACCTTGGACCTTATTTCTTGAAATCACAGTTCCCTCTTCTCAAAGTGTAATTACCCTTCCTTGGATATTTGATGGAAATAATACAAACTGAGGTGAAACAGTATGTAGAAAAGGCCTTTGCTATGGTGATATGGAAAAGTTATTGCTTCTCCATGAGTCCTCCAGAGAAGGCTAGAGAGGTGGCAGCCTAAGCAAATCAAGCGATGGCTCTGGATCCTAGCTCTGCTGTGGGAATCCATAGAGGATGTCTGTGAGTCTGTGCAGCCTGGACACCAGTGGTGATCCGTAGATTTCACATTATTCTTGTGGGTAGGGGGCACATTACATATACTTTTCAAAGCAGGAGTTATGACTACAAAAATAAATATGGTTAGACTTTCTTGTGTCTGCATGGGATATGATGCCAACAGGTGGGTTACACAGAAGTAAGCACTATATCACATGAGCTTCTGAAGTATGGAAACAGAAAGAGATTCGTTATTAGCAGGCTAGGTCAAAGCCAATCAAGGCTTACATTTGGTTTTAGGTATTCAGTGGGGAAGTATGAACCGTTCTCTTCTCTCTCATACAAGCAAATGCATATAAAGGAGGCATCCCTGTGGCATCTTTCAGGACTTGACTAATCCCTTTTACACTATCAAACAAGTATCTAAGTAGTGGAGGATATAGGGGCAGACGGTATATTAAATGAGTGAAGTCTCAGAAGTCTGATTGTGAAACCTCTAATCATCAATATCCTCTCTAGCTGTAATCTTGAATATCAAACACCAAATTCACCTATCATAGCAATTTCCTCCATTTTCTAAGTAGATGGGGACCACACAGACCCTCACTGTGACCATTAATTTAAGGTAATATCACATTCAAATTTCCTTGATCTGGTGGGTTGTTTTTTTTTTTCACTTTGAGCAAAATGCTTCTAATAATACAAACCTCTCTTCATAATACAAAAGCACCACTCCTGCTTACCCATACATACCATTTCATAATTCCACTCATGTCCTAGGGAAAAGAGAGACAATGTTAATTGAAAAATAAAATGACTAGAACAGAACTCATGAATAAAAAGTGAAGAATAAAGAACAAAGAAACAAATCAGAGAAATTAAAGTATATCATTTAAAAATAAACCTGTCAAATGTTTCAGTAGGCACATCAAGAAAAAAGAGAAAGGAAGTGAATTACTCAAATCAGAAATGAAGTATAGGATACTATTAACTGTTCTTAGAAAATGAAGATTTACCAGGGGTGGGAATGTAACTCACTGGTAGATCCCTTGCTTAAGAAGTGCAACACTGTGTGTTTAATTGCAAGTATAACACACACACACACACACACACACACACACACACACAATCTGTAAATTATAAATATCTGTACACCAACAAATTAATTTCGATGAAATGAAAAAGTTCCTGGAAGCACAGACACTACCAATAGTGATTCAAAATGACAGAAAAGGTAAAGAGACTTAAAATATTTAAAGACTCTCGATTGGAAGTCACAGACTTCTTAAAAAGAAAAGCCAGACTCTGAGAACTTCATAGGTGAATTCTGCTAAAGGTTTAAAGGCATAATAGTTATAACTCAGAAATTCTTCTGAAAAGTAAAAGAGGAGGGAACCAAAGAATTATATGAGGTCAGTCCCACCTTGATACTAAAATCATACAAAAGTAACACAAAAAAAGATAGGCCAAAATTCCATATAAATATAGAAAAAAAATGTCATCAAAATAGTAGAAATTTGAATACAGAAAAAAAATGTTGGTCATTATAATAATGGTCAAGTGAGATTTGACTTAAACAAGAAATGAAGATTTGGTTTAGCAAAAGGAAATTTAGATAACCCAACTTATATTAGACTATAGAATAAAAACCATACAGCAATTTCAACACAAGGCAGAAAAAATGTCTGAAAAAGTCCATACATTTTCAAGACAAAAACAAAAGTAAAGAGGTAACAAACCCAGAACAGAAAGGAGCAAAAAAAAACTGGAGTATTTGGTTTCACGAATTCTTTCCACCCAGAAAACTACAGCCCAAATAAAAGACAGTAGCAGACTGGGTTTCCAACACAACAGGTTTCTTGTCCATGCTCACCTGCAGCAGCTCCACTGCTGACCACAGACTGCGGCGCTCCAGATCTGAGATTAGCTCTGTCACCACCTGGCTCTGCTGTACCAGCTCAGCCTCAGCTTGTGCCAAAATATCCAGTTTCGCCTTCTCTTCTTTCTCCAATCTTCGCAGCTCCCTCTGTTCCTCATTTTCTAGGATGTGTCTAAACCAGTTAAATTCTACTCGTATCCTTTGTTTCTCATTCTGCATCTGATACTGCAAGGACAGGCAAATAGAGATACAACAAATCCGTCAGACTGAGGGCATACCGTGCAAGAATTTAGGAGCCAGGGGGATAATAGCTTTCAGGGACTTCAAAAACAAGGAGGGATGAACAAGCTAGAGAGCAATTAGCCAGGGGTGGGGGGAAGGTTGTGTTTTTTTCCACTTTTATCTTTAGCAGCTACCTAAAGACTCCCTCTATCTGTCTTGTCTAGGGCAACCCTTACAAAACAGCCAACTGAGGTCTCTGTGGTAGACAGTAATCTTGGGCACTATGGTTCCCTGCAGTATTGCACTCCCCATTTTAAGCCAGGAAAACTTTAGTCTTTTCCTAGTGTCCTCCCATGAAGTATGAGAGCATCCTTGGAGAATAGTGTCCTCCAGCCTCACCCCCATCACTCAGTCCATTTCTGTACTCACTTGCAGGTATCTATATGCAGTGATAACATGTCTGCGCTCTACACCCCCACCCCCACCCATACAAGGACAAAACAAAGAAAAGGACTAATCTGATGACTTCTGAATTTATGAAACTTTGCAGAATAAAGATAAAGGGACTCCTGAAATTAGAACCAAAGGTCCTGTCAAGAGGCTGGTCTGTGAATGCCTCATCTTGCCTTCCAAGAAAGTTTGTCTTCTCTGATGTCAGCTTTCAATTTCTCAGCTTCCTGCTGCTCTTTCCTCAGCCTCTTGAGAGCTGCCTGTAGCTTCTCCTATAAGGAAAGAAATCACACTGGAGTCAAGTTTTGAGCTTTCTCAGTATCCAAACAGAGGGTTAGTAGGAAGTAAATCAGGTTGATTTTAGATGAGATTAATTTTTAGGAACTTTCAAGTTGATGATTAGAATTCTGTGAAGAATTCTGAGGGTGTGAATGTATTCATTATTCCTGAGAGAGAGAATTCATAATCCTCTCACCAGCAGGAGCCTGCACCTCCTTTTCCTCTGACCCTGTTGTGAGTGCAATTACTCTTTCCAGTACCATTTCCACATCCAATCTACAATGCTCCCCAGCAATCATCGAGCCAAGAGGAACACTAAGGGCAACACTCAGGAAGAAATCCCCGCTGACGTAATGAAGTGAGGCAGAAGTGACTCCAGACTCCCTACTCTGAGCCAACATACTCTGATTATGTAAGGTTCACTCTCTTATGTAAAAGGAAAGACTACACTGAAATGTACCCTAAGTGGTAGAAGCTGAATATAGAATAAGAGACATGTAGGAAAGTCATCCCAAGCTTCTGGGTTTTGGTGTCAATGTGAGTAAGGAAGGAAAAAAGATGATACTTCTTAGCAAAGCCTTGCTCAGTCTCTCAGTCAGCCCCATACCTGACACTCCTGGGCTACCTCCTCCATGAGGAATGTATGGTGACCACGGTGCTCCTGAGAACGCTCGCAGAGCCAGCAAATGACTTTTCCATCATCCTTACAGAAGAGTTGAAGTTTCTCTCCATGGAGGGCACAGAAATCTCCCTTCTTTCCAATGCCAGTGCTCAACTTCACCTCCCTGAGTTTCTCCACTATGTCAGCCAGGTGGTGATTAGGCCACAGATTTCCACGGGGGTCCCTGATTCCACACACAGGACAGCCGCTGTCTTTTCCTGTCTTCTCGTTGTGCAGAGTGACGCAGGCTTGGCACAAGCTGTGGCCACAGCCTAGACTCAGGGGTTCTGTCAGCAGCTCCAGGCAGATGGGGCAGGTCACCTCCTTCTCTAGGTTTGCCAGGGTTTTGGAAGCCATTATAACTGCTCCCTGGGCTTCTTCCTGTCCTACCCCGTGAGGTTCTTCTCACTTAAAAGATTTCTTGGTGGCTACATAGATTAAAAAATAATGGCGTTAGAATAGTAAAAGTAAGGAGGAGTCTAACTGTGCAAAGATTAGTAACTGGACAAGAGCACAGAATTAAACAGTAAAAATGACAAGGGAGAAAAACTATAAGCAGCATTCAAAGGACTGTGTAAGCCATTAATGCTGAGAACCTCTGCTGTTCCTCCCATGTTACTTAGATGACTTCCTCTCATCTTTCATTTAGCTCTTTACTTGCACAGCCCCTCATCAGAAGAGCAGCTCTGACCTAAGAGAGCACAACCACATACAACTTTCAGTGTACAGTTGCTATCTTTCTCTTATCATTACAGTATCTATATCTATTTCTCTTTCTAAAATACAATATATGCACAAATTCAGCATTTTTCTCCAAATGATTTCTTGCCAGCCCCTGGAATGCACAGGAATATGACATTTAATTGTTGGGAGCCATTGAAACTGGTTGTGGACCATGTATGTGGGGCTAAGGCAAGGTCAGCCCAGAAAAAAACAGAGACCAAACCAAGCTATGTAAACAAGTTGTTCCAGCAGCAAGAAGGCAAGGGGCCCAGGCCTGCCAGGCTTGGCTGCTAGGCAGAGGGGCTGAAATTGACATCAGCTTTCCCAATATATACATAAAGGTGCTACAGTGGTTGAACAGTTCCTTTCCTCCCATCAGGAGGATATGGGCTCCACCTGTCCCCAGCTTTGTCTTTTCTTTATTTTTCTCATCCTCTTGCCAGTCCTTAACCCGAAGAACCTTAGGAGTCACATTGGGTCACGGCACTTAATAACTAACATAAAAACCTGTCTATAATTCGACCTTTCTGATTAATGTTTCTTTTAGCAGTCTTCCAGGAACTGAGCTTTGGAATCATAGGGGTGGTTTCCAGTGAAGAAGTATTGCTCTTTTAACTCACCTATGTAAACAATCCCCCTTATGTTCTCACTGGCTTCCCAGAGATATGATTGAAACAGGAAATGACCACCCCAGAGAGACAATTTTATCACAGTTTTATAATCTCTTTAAAATTTGGTCATCATTTTACTAATTTATTCCTCATATGAAAACTCTTGAGAAGTAAAAGTCTTTTTTTCTAATGAATGAATAGTATTAAAAAACTTAGAGCAGTGGTGTCAAGCCTCCAGCACGCATGCTGCAACAGGCTGTTTGTATCACTAAAGCTCTAAAAGGTTCATCATCACTGACTGAGAGTATCATCAGCTCAATAGGTACAATTAGAGTAAACACGTCCTTAGGCTCGTACTTCAAATGGATGCATGCTACCCCACATATTTCAGCAAAGATAGACGGAACCAAAGTCTAAAAGAAAAACTATCCAACTACTACAAATTAACAAAACAGTGCAGAAATGGAAGGGTTCGGGTAAGTTTGCAAGGTAGGAGAGGTCTTATGTTTGTATCCTGATCTGGAAATAGGTTTAATTTTTTTTTTTTTTTTTTTTTTTTTTTTGAGACAAGGTCTCCTTATGTAGTTCAGGCTGGTCTTCTATTCAGTACGAGCTTAAACTGGCCTTGAACCTGTGGCAATCTTCCTGCCTAAATTTCCTGAGTGCTAAGATTACGGTCTGTGCCACCACACCCAGGTGTCAAAGATATTGATGGGAGCCTCAATCTGTGTTTTTGGGAGAAGGGAGAGATGATACACATAATCACGGAGTAACACCCATTTTAAATATATAAGGAACACACATACTATTGAAAAGGCTCTTGGTCATATGAGAGAAGTTTCAACAGACAAAGGGAAAATCCACATGCACAAGGTGAATGCCAGTTATTCTTTCATTCATTCATTCAGCAAAATATTAGCACAGTAGATTATCAATTATGCTCCGTGCTTAAAATTCTGGAAAAGGGTAAATATTTAAAAATCAAAAGTTGAACATGAACAGATGATATTGCACATAATAAAGTTACAGTCACCTAAGCTAGACATAAAATAACTAAATAATCTTTCCTAAAAATGTTAAGTGTCAAGTGGCAGAAACCCTCTACACAAAGTGATATGGTTTGGGAAATCCAATAAAAGACTCCTAGGTCCAAGAGGTCAGAGTACCATGAAAATGTGGGGAAGGGAGACATAAGTTTTTAAAATCTAACTAGTGCTAAGAGAGATGGGATCACCACAGCCTGAGAATGCGCTTTGATAGCTGGGCTTCCTTCTCTGAGCGGCAACTGTCACCTAGATCTTCTGGGGCTGCAAGGAGGACATGCAGCACCACAGGGATTGGGACAGGATTTCACCTAAAATATCAACATGCATTTAAGAAACTAATTTGGTCTTTAGCTCTTGGAGACCAATAGCTTATTACTAACTTCCTTCTGGCTTTTCTCTCTCTCCGGCTCCTACCTTTGTAATTAAATTTAGATATAAACTTTCTATATCCTCATTCTGCAGGGCCAGTAATAGATTTATTTTTGGTACGGAGAACTGAACTCACAACCTCACACTTGCCAGGCGGGTGCTTAACCTGCTGAGCTAAGTCCCCACCTCCTTGTAATTAAAATTTGGAGCATCTAATACTTTTTCCTTCTCACTACAACAGGTGTTGTGTGCTGCTCTCTGTCACCTAAGTCCCCTCCTAATATCTGGACACATGATGTCATAAACTCTGTGTCTTTGTTTCAGTTACATGGTAAAATCAAAGTATGTCTAGGAAGTATGGGGAAGTTTTAGATGTTATCCTGGAAAACACTGATCTCTGGGCACTGCTAGTGAAGAAAGTAGGGGGTGTGCCTGCACCCAGGGACCTTGCAAGCTCAGAGCGACTGCACTCCCTTCTGTTTGCCCCTTTCCTCTCTGCTCAGAGGTCTGTCAACCACCCCACAGAGTCTAAAGCTTGTCTTTTCCACAGGAATCACCCTTCCTCAAAGAGCTCTAGCTTCCAGTTAATACGCTTCAGTCAAACATGGGACCATTTTTAGTAAGCAAGCCCTATACTGATCCTGTTCTCTCAGTTCCTCAGAATAGGCTGACAGTGTTTTCTTCAAGTTAGCTCCAGCCACTGCCACTGCTTGCTCTCTAAGAGAATTTACCTGTGTCTGCATTCTGGATTCCCGGAAACTGCTCATTGTCCCCAACTACTCCATCTTCTCCATCCTTTCATTGGCCTTTCTACTGTGCCTTCACCATTGTTCTTAGGTTATTGGCTCCAGCAATCTCTAATATCAATCATGTCACACCTCTGTCCAAACTCATAGCATTTGGTGTGAGGCCAGCCTTAATCAGTTCCATTTAGGTCCAAGTTCCAAATCCCCCTTAGTGTAGTACCCCCTCGAATCCCACCCTTTTCTTCTCCTCACACTCCTCCCAGCCAGTACCATCCTTTAGGCCCAAGGAAAACTCCAAACCTTCTTAAATTCTTTACCATTCAGACAGGGAGAGTTGCTCATGCCTATAATTCCATCACTCTAGGAGACTGAGGAACTAGCATCCCAAGTTGGAGCACAGCTTAGGCAGCAGTGATTTAGAAGGCTCTTTCTCAAAATAGAAAATAAAAAAAGGGCTGGGATATAGTTCAGTAGTAAGGTTCTGAGTTCAGTGTCCAGGATCACACACACACACACACACACACACACACAATATTTTTTTTTTCTCTTTCACCCTTTTATCGGTACTGGGGATCGAATTCACTACTGCCTGCTTGCAAGGCCAGTGCTTATGCCCCTGAGCTAAATCCCCAGCCCCCCCCACACACACACACAATCTTTATGAAGCTGTTAAAAGGTTTTCTCCCTAAAGTTACTTAAAGTTGAAAGAATTGGGCCAGGGATTTAGCTCAGTGGCAAAAGCATCTGCCTGGCAAGTGCAAGGTCATGAATTCGATCCCTGATACTTAAATAAAATCAAAATAAAGCAAAGCTGAAAGAACTTTATCAGGTTTATTCAGAGCCCTTATCTTACTTCAGTTTTTAAAATATGTGCTTCCATAGCACCAGCTACCTTCTTGTACATTCTATCAAACATTCACTGTTTACTGTCATTCCCTAACAAGAAGCTAAGGGTTTATACATGTTATATTTATTGAATGTTGAATGGATATCATATTTATTGAATGCTGAATGAAATATTATTCATACCAGAATTCTGTTAGTTACTGTCAATTAAATTTTTATGAAGAAATAAATAAATCCATTGTATCCCGTGGGGTGGGTTTTGTGCATGACCTGCTGAGACAGCTGGAAACTGGACAGAAGTGTCCCTTCTGCAGCAGTGCAGTGGAGACTCCCAGCAAGGCCAGCATGGTGAATTCTGGAATAGGCAAGTGTGGCAAAATGATGGCCATCAGAACGTACCTTAAATACCTGGGAAGCAGAAAGTTAGACACTAGCAGTCTAGAGACCAGCTGCTGGGGATTTTGTACAAACACAGAAGACATTTGGTTTTCCTTTGTCTTTTATCTCTAGGCACTGTTTTCTTAATCAGTAGCTAAAGATGAAATCATAGCCTGTGAGAATGTAACCTCCTCTGAGTGTGCTGATAAAGTCCAGGCCCAGATAAAGCTCAGACCAAGGACCAAGAGGTAAAACCTCAAACTCTCAAAAGAAGCTTTATTGAAAATATCTCCTTTACTCTTTAGGAGTAAACAAGAAAAATTCTTCCTTCTGAAATTGGTCAAAAGAGCCCATTGACCTAGTAAAGAAAATGACCTTGGAGAAGGAAAATAATATTTCTCGACCCACTTAATCTGATTAATGTAGTCTGACCTTTAATCTCATGCAACTATGATCCTGCTGCTTGCACACCTTCATATGAAGGCGTATTTTCTATCACTGACAATCAATCACTTTGCCATAAATTTGCCTATATTCTTTATGAGTGGCTAGATGACTTGTTGAAATTCTTTTGGCAAAGATACAAAAACACTCAAGCATAGTTGCTGGGTCTTAGTGATTTCAGAATCTCATGGTGTTAGAACCTGGTCCCTGGTGACAATACCCATAAGATGTAGTTGTCCCCCCGTGTGCCAGCAGAGGCCCTGCCGCCTGGAGAGAACCAGCAAAGAAGCCCTCCCTCACCCAGTAAGCAACAGGACATGACACAGGCTGAGAGGAGAATAAGTGAAGCAAAGAAGCAACCTGACTTTTATGTTGTTTCATTGACTTTGCAGCCAGGGTCCTGCTAGTCTGAGCAACTGCTTAGAGAATAACAATATGCAATATAGAAACAACTGTAGATTTCCTACTGTCCCTTCACTGTTTTATTTGTTTTGTTTCATTTTACAGTCCATTTCACTCCCTTAATAAAACAAATTCAGGGGTCAGGTCAGGGATTTAGCTGCTAAGGTTTTAACAGAAGGCTTAAAAATATGAAGGACATATGACTTAGAAAAGAAACAAATGCTGGGCATTTAGCTCACAGCGCCAAGGTCATGAGTTTGATCACCAGTACCAACAAAAAGAGAGAGAGAGAGAAAGAGAGAGAGAGAGTTAGAGAGACAGAGAGAGAGAGAGAGAGAGAGAGAGAGAGAGAGAGAGAGAGAAAGAGAGATGCAGTTGTCCTCAAGTGAGCCTAAAATGGAAAATGCTCAGAGACAACAGAAAGCCAGATTCATAGTAAGGTTGTTGAAACTTCAGGCCCTTCCTGAGCAAAGCCAACTCCTTTTCATGAGCTCTGAGCAAAGAAAACTGGTAAATGGTGGTAACAGTCAGTAGAAATCTGTGCACAGTGGGAAAGATGATGCAGTTCTAGAGCAGGTGAGGACACCAGTGTTCGATGCACACTACTCAAGCGAGCAGTAGCAAGTTAGGCCTGGCTCTGTGTCAGTTGTTCCAGCTCCTAAGAGGGCTGAAACAGTAGGATCATTTGACTCCAGGGCCTTAAAGTCAGCCTGGACAACATAGGAAGACTTGTCTGTTAAAGGAAGAAGAGTAACAGGTTTACTCAGAGCAAATCAAGTGGATCCTGACACTGGCCCTCCAGGACATAGGATAAAAGGAATCACACAGCAGCAGTCAGGGGTCATCCTGCTGGCTTCTGGCAGGCCAAGGGCTGACAATATCACAAAGGCCCCAACAACCCTTCCAAAGTTGTCAGCTGGAAGAGAAACAACGTGCTTCAGTGTCCACCCTGACTGCTCCAAGGCTGCAATCTGCCTTGGGAGCAGATTGGAAGGCAGGGGCCTCCCCCCAGCTAGCCTTCTGGGTAGTGAGAGGGGTCAGCAAAGGCCAAAGAGAGGGAGAGAATAAATTCCAGTTTCCCTTGGAAGACAGAAAATTGAAACTACAGAGCAGGAAGCCTGTAAGAATGCATTCAACTCGAAGAAATATGGGCTCTTTCAGGCTCTTCCTCCTCTGACTTTAAGGTGGCCTCCTGTGCACTTGGTCTTTTATTGCCTTCAGAAAAACCTCTGAGCACAAATTACACTCCACCAACCTGGCTTAGTGTTTTGATTTTGGACTCTCCCACCCTGGAGCGCCCCCTACCCCAGACTTCCCTACACACCTTCAGGCCTCAGTGGACAAATCTTCACTCCTGGTTGAAGTGGTGAAGTCAGGGTGGAATTCACCCACCCTCCAAGGGGCTTGGCCTGCCCGAGGTCCCTCCCTCCTTCTGTGGCTGCCTGCTGACAAATGAAAGTGAAACTCCTGTGGCTGGCAGGAAAGGGAAAGAGGAAGAAGCCTCAAAACTGTCAACTGCAGTCCTCTGCCCCGGAGAGGGTAACACGTTAACTCTACATTCTCTCCAGAGGACCAAGATTTGCCCTTCAGGGAAATTTCCCGGTGTTTGAAGAGGCTTCTGGGTGTTCTAACTAAGAATGGCTTCTGACCTCCAGTGGGTAGGGGCCAAGTATGCTGCTAAACCTTCTACTTTGCAGGGAAGAGTTCTCAGCACAGAATTAGCTAGACCAAAATGTCAGCTGTGGTGGACTCTGATAAATATTATTTAACCCTTTCTGCTTCCTAAGCCAGAAAGGCACTCACTGTCTTCTCCTTGCCCCTGCAACTTTAATGGCTATACATAGGTTCCCAAATCCATGTGCAATTTGTTCCAATTGCTCCTTAAAAATAATCTATTAAAAAAAATCTATAGTATCAACTTCAAGGGGATGGGAGATAGAAAGTGGGTGGAGTAGGAGTAGGCAATGCTGAGAAGCATTAGCTACAGGGACCAATCTGGGGAGCTTTTTACAATGTCATAAATGCTCAAAGTATTGATTATGCGGTCATTAAGCAGGCATAAAACTTATGCAAAACCCAGCCAGGTGTGGTTGTACAATACTATAATCGCAGCACTCAGGAAGCTGAGACAGGAGGATCCTTGCAAGTTCAAGACCAGCCTGGGCTACAAAGTGAGCTCAAAGTGAGACAGCCTGAACTGCTGCAGAGTGAGACCTTATCTCAAAAAGACAAAAAAAAAAAAAAAAAAAAAAAAAAAAAAGAAAGAAAGAAAGAAAAGAAAAAAAAGCCACTCATCAGACTGCGCATGCTAAATGAGTACATGTAACATGCCCCTCAGTAACACTGATCGTAACAGGAGTTTTCCGGGTGAATTCTTCTTTGTTTACTGCTTGTTTGGGAGGGAATTGGTTGTATTTTGAGACAGGGTCTCACTGTTTACTTCAGGTTGCCCTTGAACTCACTATGTAGCCCAGGCCGGCTTGGAACTCTTTCAGCCTCTCAAGGCTGTCGTTACAGGGATGTTGTCACTACTTCCTTCTTTTTTCTAGGTGAATTCTTAGGTAAACCTGAGGTTGAATATGACTGACCTCAGGACTGAATATCACTGACCTTGACAATGTTATAAATGCATAAAGTATCGATTACAGGTCTTTCAGGCCTTAACAGGGCATTGAAAGTAAGATAACCTTGAATCCTCTCCTTATTGGGGCAAACTGGAACAGGAGAGTTCTCTCTCGGATCAGAACAATCTCAGCTCTGTAAAGAACTTGCTGTTTTCCATGAAGAAAATAAGTGAATGGATTGTCTATGGTGTAGACAAGGAGATTCTACCTACCTACCTCCTTTACAGCTTATTATGTAAGAGCTAATTTGTTTGGAAACTGCTTGCCAAAGTACAATTGCCCATTCTGCTTCTCCCACCCTCTGAATCCAAGCAAAAGCCCCAAGCAAAAGGACAGTTACAAATTTTGGGGAAGTTTAGCAACCATCTTGATTGTAATCCCAAATATTGATAGAGTTCTCCAAGTATTGTAACCCCTTTTTCAGTCTTCCTCACAATCTAAAAAGCTATATTTATAATCCCATTGAGACATTATTGGAATCCCAGCAAGTTAATTCCAAGCTAGCACCTCTAATGCAACCCACAGCAAGAGTAAAGACACCAAGACATATTCAAAGTTAAAGGTGGCCAAGGGGCCCTAAATCCAATCCTCATGAGGATGTATGGACAAAGGCCCTAAGCCTAAACCTTTCCCAGAATTTATTATCTTCTGAAGAAGGGGATGGCTTGAGGAATGAATGACAATGAGGATGGTGGGAACCAAGTGAGTAACTTGAGCTGACTAGTCAGGTAGTGAGAAAAGCATCTCTGCAAAATGCAGAGATAAAGATATGCAGAAAGATCAATGTGCATAATTCAACTAAGGTAGCAACTGAATTGTTTATGGTGGCTGTTGCGTCAGTTTCTTTTTTTTGCCCTGGGGAGTCATATTTTCTTTACCCTGAGGCTCATACTCAGTTGACATTCCTGGAGCTGATTGGTTCTACCATCCCATTGTGCCCATATCTTCTATAGAGAACAATATTTGAGGAAACAGAAGACTGTCTGATGGCTTTACAGATTACACACCAGTACCTTGACTAGCTTTATTTGCAATGATTAGAGCCAGTTGAAGAGAGAAGAAAATACCATAGTCAGCTCTATACATATCAGCATAAGGAAATAAGTGTCCATATAATCAAAGTTGCAGCAATTGTTCTACATTCAAGGGGAGTCACTCAAGTTGTCTCCTGTACATCTCGGAAAAATATCTGCACCCAATATCATTGAACATATACTTTAACTGTGTTTAAGGGAGTATTTTACTTTCTTGTTTCTGGTTTCTGCTCTTTTCTCAATATGGGGTGACTCATCATTCAGATGGTAAATCATTAGCTGAATATGTGAAACCATTAGTCAAGATGTTTATTAACTTAGTCCATCAGTTCTGTGTGTGTGGCAGTATTTCATCACTAGTTTTGTTCACTAAATATTTTCCTTTTTTTGGTTCATCTATGTATGAATTCAACAGACTACAATGATTATGTGCTTTTAATGTTTTTATTTTCTTTTTTATTATTTTGAAGATAGTAAAATACAACAGAACAAGACAGAAAAAAGCCAATTGAGACAATGCAGTGAAATTGGTACAGAATGTCACAGCACGTTACCAGGATAACAGTAATAGGTACCATACTATATCTCATTATCTTCACAATAATTGTCCTTTCGATCAGGTATAGCAAAATCAAACCAAATACAGAACATTATAGAACTTATAAAAGAGAATATTGAAGAGAATTAATCAAATACAATTAATCAAATATAAGCAAACTAGTTATAACAATATTTGCCTGCAAAGAGATGGTAGAAGGAAATCCCCTATATTTGCTACATTGCATATGGTAAACCTCCCAAGAGATGCTCAGGTCCCTGGCTCCCATTTGCTAAAGGGAGGAGGGAGGGGGAATTTGATTCTCAGCCTGCATGCCAATAGGCTCAAGGCTGCTTAGCAGGAGGTGAATGTGTTGCTTTCTTTCCCAGCACCCTAAGTTCCTCCATGGCAGGATCTCAGGAGATGGTGGCTGGTTCTCTTCCTGGGGAGCTCATCACTTGCTTGAACCATGGCTGCTTACCTCAGAGTCAAGGGGAATGGCAAGATCTCAGGAGACTCTGGATAGTTCTCTCCCTGGGGGAGCTGCCCCTTGCTGGAACCAAGGCTGCTTACCAGGGAGGTGAGCAGGTTGCTTTCTTTCCCAGGCCCTAGGTTCCAACTGTTGCTATTTTCTTAACAACTATCCACCAGCATATGTTAAATGTAGAGAAACCACCCCTTTAGAAGCTGCCCTATGGGATCAACAGTTCCTCAGGTCCTTTCCTCTCAGCTGAGCCACTTCTGGGGGGCACCAAAGGCCTAGACAGGAAAGTGGACAAGTTCAGTGCTTTCAGGAATCTGGAACTGCAGTTGGAACTCTAGATAAACAGGGGAAAGACTGAAAAATGAGGAAAGTTCATATCCCCAAGAGTCATTTCTATAGGTGGAGAGATATAAACAAAGGGCTGGGAATTATCTGCTGATATCAGTGCAGAAATGCAGCATCAGTTTTCCTTGATCTCTCCAGGTTTGCTCATTCATTTCCCCTCAGTGCATAAGCCTCCCCAGAGCAAGGCAAAGCAGAGCTCTCATCTCAGCTGAGGTCTGCTGCAAAACTGGTTCAGAATCCTTGATTCTCACAAGTGAATAATTGTGTGTATCCTTCAATTCATATTATCTTAGGAAACTTTTCAGCAATTTTGAAAATATTGGACTTTTAGAAACTTATTTGCTTATTTATTTATTTTGGATGCTAAGGGTTGAATTCAGTGACTCATGCATGCTAGCCAAGTTACATCCCTACATAATTATTTTACAGAGATTCTATAGCTTATTCACCTGAAAATGTATAACAACTATTAGTATTGCAATTATACTCAACACTTCCCTTTTTTTTTTTTTTTTTTTTTTGGTCTTTTTGAGACAGGGTCTCTCTATGCAATTGAGGCTGACCTTGAGCTCACTTTGTAGCTTAGGCTGGTCTTGAACTCACAAGGATCCTCCTGCTTCAGCCTCCCCAGTGCTGGGATTACAGGTGTGAGCCATGACACCCTGCTTCAACCACTTTTCATTTGCAATAATATTGAACGTGCTAATTTCTGCATTGTTTGCAGATGGGTAAAATGTACTTTTGGTCCCACTAAAATTTATATTGGTATTTTATTCAATACTTTATTCCATGAAAAAGCAAGTTTTTAGTTTGGCTTGCTATTGTATTCTTGAAAGTCAGGACTCAAGAGATTAAGGTAGAAGGACCACAAGCTCTTGGTCTTTTTCCTTCTTCCTCCAATTTTTTAACTGTGCTTGTGCAATTGCAATTGTGATATGCAATAAATATATACTATTATATACAGCTAAATTAGGTAAAAATATTATAGGCAGTCAGAGAAGTCTAAGCCCAAACCAGAGTCAGTGCAAAAGATGAAAGAAAACACATTACAACTGTGACTAGAAATATATTTGCCAAAGGCTAGGCTTCAGTTAAAGACAAAATAGCTGAACTTGGTGGTGCACACCTATAATCCCAGTACTTGTCAGGTGGAGGCAAGAGAATTGCTGAGAGTTGGAGGCCAACCTGGGCTACAACAGTAAAAAAATTGTTGCAAAATGAATAAATAAATAAGTAAACAAGTACATCAAATCCAAAAACAAAAAATATAAAGACAAAATGACCAGGCCTGTATGCCTCTCTGAGCAAGATGCAATAAATGAATGATTACACTACAATTGATAGCACTGGGTCCAATCAAATCTAAACAGATATCAGTCACACAGGTGGGTGACCAAGACCTCCTCAACTACCACTTCCC